AATGATTGGGACTTTGGAAAAAATATTTAATACCATCCTGAATAAAGAAGAAACTGCTTTGAATTCCAGTTTGGAACAGAATCAAGCTGTGTCTGTGTTTGAATCTAGAATAGCAGAGCCCTGATTAACTAATATGTTGCTGGAAGCTGTGAGGACACAATGAAGTTCACAAGATGAATTACACTTCTTATTTTAGAGATGGGAAAATGTGGTAAAAGCATTAGATGTATTAACCTGAAATAAAGACAACCTCACTTGAGAGTTGTGTGTGAAGCTGAGGAATTTGCTTAGAGAAGAGGTTTTTTGGTGGTGTGGTGGGTTTTTGTTTTGGTTTGCTTTTTGGTTTCTGGTATATAGGAGCCTAATATGATGCTTTGACCTCCTGAATGTTTTTTGGAGAAAAGCTTACTTCTGTCAGTGGTTATTCTGAATTGCCTCTTGGAGACATAGTCGCTTTGCCGCCATTCCCTTATCTACAAGGATAATAAGCTTGTGCTCTCACACAGTGCTGCTGTGATGGATGTACACAAGTGCAGTAGAAGTACTAGAAGACAAAGATAAACTCATTTGTTATACAAAAATAGTAATAAAAAAGCTATTGTGATAACTTAGCTTTTTAAGTTAGAAATTGTCAGAATTATTATTAAAACTGTTAACAGTAGTAGCACTACAGAATGTGTTGATGTACCACACTAGACACACTGTTTTAATAAGCTGAGAATTCTGGCAAAAATTAGAGCCTCTGCAGTGACATAGATTCAAAGCATTCACTTTTTGAATCGTATTTAAGGGAATTTTAAAGTCCCCTAGTAGTGTACTTCATTTTCTAGAAATTCCATCTAATAAGTAGTAGTATATAATTCTCTTGCTGAAGATATCTCAGAAAACAATCCACACAGAAGCTATTTATTTTTGTGTTCTCTTTGCTGTGTGTTCACCAGCAAATAAAAAAAAAAGTTAAGAAAAACAAGAAGAAAGGGGAAAAAAGAAAAAGGCAAACCCCAAACGTAAACACACATTTGTTCTCAGTCATACTTGTTGACAAATCAAGGAGCGAATTTCAGGTTCTATTAGGAACAGTCAGAGCAAAATCTACACTGTCCCAAATTTGGAGCGGTAGCAATCAGGGAGGGAAGTTCAAACGCCTGAGACAGCATTAGAATCAAGACAGACCTACAGGTGGTGGTCTGGCGTGGCCTGTGTTTTCCCTGTGCTTGGAGAGACGTTTGAGTCCCCGTAAGTTCCACTGCCGGCAAAGTAGAGCAGGTCGCCGAGCTGCTTTGGTTTTACACCGTACGGAATGCTTACGTGATGCGATGGGGAAGGAAAGACAAACAATAATCAGCTTCAATTTGATTCCACTCTAAAGTGAGGAAAAAGTTTGGAATTCTTGAAAGTTTGGCGGAAGAGGTTTGTTTCCCAGTTAGCCATTCGTTTCCCTTCGGCATTTGTTACTGGCTGGGGGTTTGGTAATAAGCAGACAAGCTGTAACGGTACCTGTGGTGTAGGGGAGAGTTGGTCCCTGGGTACAGGGATCATTAATTGACTTTGACTTCTTCTCCATTGTTTGTTTCAGAGCAGTTATTACTTGATATATATTAGAAGCTGTTGAAATTCACTGTACGTTTGGGACAGTATGGCTATATAACCGAAATTTTTCTGGAGCTTTTCCGACTTGTTATGAGTGCAGGGATAAAACTACATGACTCTTGTGTGTTACTGTTTAGTGAGACTGATTTGATCTCCTCTCCTGGAAAACATCTGTAAAGGATTTTTCAAATTGTTCCATTCTCTTCCTTTTTTAGAAAACTGTTTTCTAAATCTTGGTAACAATTTTTGGAGCCATATTCAGATAAAACAAGATCCAGAATTTTCTAGTGAGTGGTTTAGAGATCAAGTAAGTCACCTCTGATTTACAGAGGCTGTCCTAGCTAGAAATTTGCAAAGCAGGTGTGTGGGGCTTTTTTTTTTTTTTTTTTAAAACAACCTTAACGTTGCCTAAAATATTTTAAAAAAATCATATTTTCACTTTAAGATATCTGAATTTGCCACACATTATATGTGTATGCAAGAGGCATGCGTACAGCTTTGAATATCCAAAATAATTGATGTTACAGAGGAATTACTGAACTATTAGGCCTGTTACAGTTGAAACTGTATTACACTGATGTCTGTACAGGCAAGCTTACATTTGAAAGGCTGCAGTACTAATGTTTTAAAACTTCATCTAGTAGCATCTTACTTAAGAAGTGTAACTAGTAGCTAAGTTTGGTCTTTTCTGCACAAGACTGCTTAACTGTGATCCCCCCTGTTTTGAAGCAAAGTGATGGGCATAGGGGACGTACGGCCGTAACACAGAGCTGTCAGACATAAAGAAGGGCAAACTAAAGATATGTGGACATTTTGCACATGAGAACTTGTATTTTATCTTCAAAGACTGCAGAATAACTTGCATCTCTGTGTTTACATAAGCAGAGCAGTGTTCAATTTATAGTAAATTTTGCTTCCAAAGCTTTTAGAACTTAATTGTTCAGTGGAAGAATGCTGCTTTTTTCTTTGTATAACATAGGCCATGCAGCATTCTTAAAGGTTCTGCGCATTCTGGCCCCCATCCATCACAGTACTTAAACCATGAGTAGCCCTATTCAAGTTGATAGAATTACTCATGTGCTTAAAATTAAACATGTGCTTAAGTGCTTTGATGGATTAGAGCCAAAGTTGTCAGCACCTTGCTTTGTTATGTGCTGCGTTACACCTGCCCCTGTGCGCTAGCCTGGGTCTTTAAGGGACAGAGACTCACATTTGCTCATTGCAATATTTAGTTACTCTATGTTCTAAAAATGCAGTTTACATGCACAGTCATAGTAAATTCATACACTGTCTGGAAGTATAAATATACAACCACAACTCGTGAAATCTAACAGTACTTGACAAATTCCACAAGATTTTCTTCTGGGGATTTCAGTGGGAATGTTGTGCTAATTGTTTACATGGAAACATGACATCTATAACATTGCTCACAAAGCTAGCTTTCTATTCAAATCTGGACTTTATAATATTATAAAGTGTAAAATGGAAATCACCATTTAGATATGACAGCACGCTGTTAAGAATGACTGTGAACTTGGAACTTCCCAAAAGCTGAGATCAGTAGGGACTGTTCTAGTTTCTGCTGATAAAGCTGAGTTTGTAAGCATTTGGGCAGTTCTTTAAGGCGTATAAGCAAAGTTGCACGTGCCTGACAGCTCTTCATCCTTGGAGATAACTGTGGAAATCTTCCTTGATCCAGGCTTTGGCAATGGTAAAAATTCCAGATTTACATCTGTAAGGCAAATAGTTGATTGAGTGAAAGCAGTCTAACATGGCTGTAAGAAACGTGTGGTGAACAAAACATTTAACAGTAACAATCTCACTGAAATCTAAGGTCAGCTTTCAGTGACAGAAATAAACAGTTCCTGTGTTCTTTCCAAATTGTCCCCCCTGTTTTTTTGGGTGCTGAAAGTCTACATTCGCTGCCTTAACTGCTTTCCTCTTCAGACTGTCATTCTGAACTTCCGGGCTATCAATACTAAATCCTGCAGCATTTAGAAAATTTTGGGTTTGAGTCATTGAGAATCTAATTGAATTTTTAAAAAGTAACGGGAAAAATGGTGAAATATGTTAGATAATTATTTTTTATTTAAGTGAAGCAAAAGCAAAGTTATCAGGAAAATGCAGTCATGTTGCAGGTCATTTCACAGTGAAGGGGAAGCCTTCTTTGCTTCATTCTTTGATTAATATTTGGAACTGAGTTTTAAATTGAAATTAATAGTTGAGTGAATTTTTCATGGTGGACTGTGTATTCTGAATTTTCTGTACTACCTCACAAACATTTTTTTAACTAACAATTGGTAGCAATTAGCTCTTTGCAGGTAACTTGTTAACTGTTACTGAGCTCTTACTGACTCAATGACACTTTGTATTTGCCCTGATCAGATGTATCTGTAAGAATTTCTGTGACCAAACTGCACTTAAATTTGAGTCTTTATGAGCACACATGCATTTGAATATTGTAATAATTTTCCCAGATGTTGCATTAGCAAACCTTGATTGCGCAAAAATTTTTTTGAACAACTAAAGTGTATGTCCCCAGTAAGCAAAAAAGTAGTTATTTTGGTTGTTCTCTTAGTGAAATTGGAAAGCTCTGTTATCACATTTGAAGCTCTTTGCCTATTTTAGTGGCCTTCAGTCATATTAAATGAAGAGACTGGAAGAGTAGGGTGAGAATGAAGAGGGTAATTCAGACAGAAGTTACAGTGAATGCTTGTAGAAACATGTTTTGTGGAACTTACCTTGTTTCTGGTAGGACATCACATTGCACAAATTTGAGCCTTCCCCTTTTTCTGTTTCTGTTGTGCTGTTGTCCTTCTGATGTCTGTGTCTTACCTGCTAACGTGCAGAGGTTTGGATTAAAAACCTCGGGGCTCGTCACTGTTAGAGGCAAGCACCTTCCAGATTGCCTGTCTACAATATCACGTCAGAAGTGTTTCAGATGATAGTGGAGGTCACGATCACTAAAAAAATCAAGAGATTTTCAGGACTGACCATCTTCCACCTGTCCCATTACTGTCTTCCCTACTGCATTGCATCCTGCTTGGTCTGGTCTGTATGTATACTTACTTGGCATACAGGGTTTCCAGCCATTTTTATTTTAGGGCTTCTTTCCATTTAATATTGGCTCTCAGCCAGCTGTGTACTTTTTTTAGTTTTAAGTAGCAGTGAAGTCATTGGCCATTATAGGAGCTATTCCTCTCATTCTTGTACACGAACCCCTGAAGAGCTCTGGGATGAGATTGCCCTCATTGGAAAGCTTCATATCGAATCCTGGTTGAAGAAATTGCTAGAGTACAGACATTTTACAAAGCAGTGTCAGAGCAAATGAAACTCATAGGGCGCTCATCAAATTGATGTTTCAAAGTTTAGACAAAAGTGCTTTCGAAGTGCCTGAAAACTAAGGCGAGAACAAGACCCCCAGTAATGTTGCCATTACCTGCCTGTATTTTAAAGCAAAGTCTCTGCAGTACCAAGGATGAAGTGGTGAACACCACAGCAAATCGCCCAGTTTTAACAGAAGGTGCTGTTGACCCGTGTATACTGGAGTGTCTGATCAGTTTGTACTCGCATGACAGTATTTTTTTTGGACATGAAGAGATTGATAGGCCCAGTCAGGTAACTCGGGAGACACTAGTAGATTGGATCCGCTGTGAAGGATGCCTGTACAAGCAGGCAAGTCGAAACAGCAGAGAGTATGTCCTCAGAGGTGTCGTGTGCTCTATTTCAGTGCTGTTGCACAGCTGGACGTAAATGTGTCAAAAAGGTAACGGCCAATGTGCATGTTTCCTTTTTTTTTCTGTGTTAGTTGTGACCACATTCACAGTGCTAATATTAAAAAAAAAAAAATAAACCAAAAGTGTCTTTGTGCTTCCTGACAGCAGTTTGAAGTGGTTATCTCAAAATAGTGAATTGTACAAGGCAAGATGATTCAGCACGTTTGACTTGAATCCTCCTGTTCCTGCTGGTTCTGAGAGGTGTCCTTCTGTACCAGGAAAGAATCACAAAGCGTGCTCTGAAGACTCTAGCCTTGTTAATTGTTGTGTTGAGTATCTAGAGAGAGTAGTAAATTTTTGAGGACACTTTTTATTGTAATATGCTTAATTACCTGTACTTAGAGCAAGAAAATGAAACTGGTGTGTTATCCTCTGTATGTGTGCCTGAAGAGCTAGAGACCACGTTTGCAATTTGCAAAGGTGTTTAATTGCACGGTATGAATTCAAGGGCCTTTGTCAACATCATACATCAAAGAGCTCTTTGTGAACACGTCTAATTTCATTCCTTACCTAAACTATTGCTAGTTAATTAGCTGAGGTAAATGGAGCAGCATAAGCAGAATTATGCTTCTTAATATTGGATCTGTGATGGTCTCTTTGTGCCACTTACAGGTGTAAAGGGACTGTAAACCAGTTAAACTGGTTTTACGCAGGAATTTGCAAAGCCGAAGGGGAGCCCCAAGGTGGCTTAGAGCCAGAGTAGCATCTCTGTGCCACATCCACCCGGGCAGATGGGGTGAGCAGGGTGCCATGTGCAGCCCTTGGGGCCGAGCCCTCGGGCGCGTCCGCCGCCTTCCAGGCTCCTTCGGCTTCCTCGGGAGCTAGAGCTGCCCGCAGCGGTCTTCGCATCGGAGCGCCGTGGGGCAGAATAAAGCTAGCCTTTGGCCTTTACACCTGGGATAGCACGGTGAGCACAGGTAAAACAAACCTAAATGTGGAGTTAATTAGGTTTATATTTAGTGATGCCTTTTTTAGAGTTTTATCATTATGGTAAGATAAGAAACAAGTCATATGCCTAGCCCCTAACACTCCAGTGTAAATAATGATCAACAATAACATCATCTCTGCTTTCACAGAGCTGTGGGGTGTTTTTTATCAGTGCTTCAGTAATTTATATTTCTTGCCTTTTAACTTAGAGAATGATTCTGTCATTCCATAAATAGAAGGTATCTCTTTGCGCTTATATTTCTTATCATACATTCATCTACTTATGGCCACGTAGTAAGATGTGCATGTAACCCATGGAGGTAAATATTGTAATGTACGGTAAAGCAGTTTATAGCGCTTTTCCTAATATTTAAAAGGGAACTTGTGGAAGCCCTGTATGTATTGTCTGTTCTATATATTGCATTGTGTGTGTACGTGAAAGTGATTATGCTTCAGGGGCTAATGGAACTACATTCTTCCAAATCATTTAGGTCACAATTAGATCTGTGCAACATAATTAATTTTTAACCGTGTCTTTAAATCAAAGTGTATCATGACAAATTATTCAACCTGTTGGGTTTTTCTTTTTCCAAAAGGTGTTATTTACAGAGAAAGCAAATATCTATCCTCATAGCTATTGTTTTTCTATTATTATTATTTCTTCTCACAGTAAATGATCTTTGGTAGCTGGATGGTACAATTTGTTGTTACCCAGAATCTCGGAGAAATAAACTCAAGAATCTTCAAAGTGAGGTAGATGTTGGGGGTGAAAAGGTGGTGTAAGAGGCAGAGCGTAGTATTGGGGAGGGGAAACTACATTTTTGCATCCAGCAGCAGCAAGGGTCTGTTGCTTTTGGCACGACGCTTGTGGTCAGTGTTACTGGCATGGCACTAGCTCTGTAGAGTGCTTTAGATTACACTTTGTCAGCTAGCTGTGCCTTTGGGTAACTTTATTTCATCTTAAAAGGTGACAGAGTTAGCAAGAACCAAGTATTAACGTAGTTAGAAAATCTCAATTCTGCTGCAAGTGAGGACCCAACTAAATCATTTCCTGCGGAAAGCTGTGCAGCGTTACTGCTGTGCAGCGTTACTGCTGTGCAGCGTTACTGCTGTGCAGCGTTACTGCTGTGCAGCTGATGCGTGCTAGCTCCTGCCCCGTGGTACTGCGGGTGCTCGTCCCTGCTGTTCTTGAACAGTACAAAACAGAAAAATCTCTCTGAGGTTGGCAGTATTACTGACGTGTCTCTGTGGTGTGATAGAAATGAAGAGTTTGACTTGTAAAAGGTATTCAGTGGCTTTTGCTATTGCATTTTAGCAGTTTTGTCTGTAAAATTGGTACTTTGTCATAGGTCTAAGATGAATTATTTCAGCTTCACTCTGAATACTCTAGGCACCTATTTTCCCCCGTTTTCAAGTGCCTCTAACTTGGCCTCTGCCCTGGTTGCCATTCTAGCTGTTATATTTTGAGATAATTGCCATGTTGTTCTGTTAGAAATAACCCAGGCTGCTAAACCAAATTTATGTTATTGTTGAATCGTAAAGTACCTCAGAATTTTTGTAATGTGGATTGGTAGCAAAATCTTAATTGAATTTCCTTGCTTGTGGTCTTGTGTCTGAAGATCTTGACTGCACTGCTCTGTTTTTGTGAGGTGGATTGGCAGGTAGTGCTGTTTGCATTTTTGTTGACTTCCATAAGGTGCCATAAACAAATTTTAATGCAGATTTTATGGAATGTTTATGAAATCCATGAGCATGTTTCACTGCATCAAAGGCACCATATTTAGATGAATAGCTATGTTTAAAGCCCACGTGCCTGTGAAGTGCATGACTGCCTGTCAAAGAACTGAATTGTGTTTTAAAATGAAATTGATATATTAACTTTTCATTTGCTTTCAATGGGTAATTGCGATGGGCTTTTGAAGGTGAGCAGGAAGGGGACAGCCCATGGCTACTTCCCTGTGCGTTCATGTTTGTTGGTAATACCTGAAAGCAAACTGCGATGCACCTGTGTTGAAACACAACAATGTCGTTTTCTCCTATAAAAAGCCAGAGGCAAATTAATTGTTTTGTAATATCTTTATTCTGGCTTTTATACTTGCAAATTGATTCACTTAACTGGCACTGCTTTGTACGGGCAAGGGAAGCTTTTCTCTAGATAGAGTTGTTAGGTCAGCAAGTTCAAGAGTGAGCGAAGTTTGACAGCGCTTCAGAAATGAAGGTAATTTATGCATTATACCGATCACTGAAGGTGATAGAAGCCAGGCTGTTTACAGCCTTGTAAAGAAGACAAAGGCTAATGCTCTGTATTAACGTTACGTGATTACATTTTAATATGCCCTGTTAAAATGGTCTATATATACTCTCCAGGCATGTACATTCTGCAATACAAGTTTGAAGAGAAGCTTTCTGCTTTTTTATTATTTGCAACAGAATCCCGAGAACTATAAAAAATTGGGAACATAATAAATAAAGAACATTTTAACATGGTTTTGGGGGATTATTATATAATATAAAGCCAGTCATTTTAAGTAGTTGTCCTTGTGTCACATGGTGGACTCTGCCCCTGCTGTTACGTCCCCTTCAGGATTCTAGGCAGGCTCACTTGCGGTGAAATAACGTGTACACGCTATTGAATTGCAGACCATTATGTGGCATTATTTATTATGCTAAGGCTGCACATAGGAAATCATGTGTTAAAAGACAAATTGAGAAAGCAAATTACATTTTTCAAAAAGGAACGCTACCATTTATGTCTGCAATATGCAAAGAATGTTCCAGTATTTTGTATTCACATTGTAAGTATTCCGGTTACAGGGTATGTTCCTTTTTTAGGCCGTGTTCATAACGGGATTAATTGGCAATCATAATTTACCCTCATTAAAAGCCCTTTTCTGTTGCATATGATGTGATCAAAGTCTTTTTATTTCACTCAAATGATGCATCCCACAGCATTAAATTCACCTCTTCACAGTGTTCTTCATGACATGTCTAATGTTTGGTTTCTAAAATATTCCTACATTTAAAGTGTGGAGTTTTCTGTATAATCAGGGGATTTGGGGGAAGGTGGAGAGGGCTTCCCCAGTAACTTAGATAATTGGATCATGGCTATCTTTCCTTCTGAAGGGAAAAAAATACACTTTACTGTTGTTGCTTTGCACTTAGCGTGTTTTGGATTTTTTTTCTATCTTACCGTGGGTTTGTAGGGTTTGAAGAAACATATCACTTCATTTCTGTTCATAAAATCTACTATTTTTTCTGAAAAAAGAAGCAATATACTACATTCTGATTTAAAACTAGGTAGTTCTTTGTATTTTTCTCTTCAGTCTTGTCCAAACTCTGCCTGTTGGTCAGAACTTTCCAACAAGGCATATGGCTTCTTTACCTGTCATTGGTGACCAAGAAATTCAAACTTCTTTGCTTTCAGGAATTCGGATTGATGGCATAAAGGAGTCACAGGATTTATTAGTTCTTTTTTTTTCTTTTAATTGTTTCATATGTTTTGTTTTGACCGTTCATTTTGGCACTGGATTTTTCTAACTTTTCTACCTGTGAGATGTTCATACTGGGTGAGCCAAATCCTTGGTCCACTGGAATGTTCTTTTTAAACTTTAAATATTTTTTCCAAGTTGCAAGTAATGGTTATTCATATTGTCTGGAAGGTAAACCAGAAAGGAATATTAAAATTAAATTAGTTTGCTCTCTGATAATCTGTTTGGTAATGTGTTCATTGCATAAGATTTTATAAAGTCTGAGTAAAAATGTTGCCATTTTAATAGTAAAGCTCAGCCACAGGTGAAGTTCTTTACTAAATACTGATTAGGTTTGTTTTCAAGGAATATTTGATTTTCCTGACCTTCTATGTCATTCTAATTTCATGTTATTTGAATTAAAATGTCATCTTTTTTTATAGTACCTAAAATAGACTTTATTAGTTTTCCTGAAAGCTATGGGCAGCTTTGCTTTGGCCCATTTAAATATTGAAAACAGCAGGATTTGAGATTTTTCTTATAATCCTCAACTAATAGAGTTTAATACTTTGTTTGGCCTACACTACAGAGCCTAAGCAAAAGTTTTAAACAAGATTAAAAATACGACCTTATTAACCCATGGCATCTAAAGATACAGAACAGGCCTGCAGAGACATCAGTCGTTCGTTAGGCAGGATAGCATGGTGCCATTTCCAATCTACTTGGGCTGTTCCAGAGGAAAATGTTTTGGGACCCCAGGTTTTTTCTTTTGTCGTTTTGGCCATCGTGCCAGCACCTGAGAAGAAGAGAGAAAAAAGCAAGAATCTGTTTCGAAGTTGAATATTCAGTCATTGTGGTTTGGGAAAATAAAGTGCAATTACTTTTGGAAATTTGAGGTGCAACCTGGCAGGGATTTCTCCAAACCAATTCTGGCAGAGTGAAGGGACAGCAGAGGTGGGGCTTGGCTTTTGTGTACTGCCCTCATTAGTCCCTGAATAAACTGAGTTTCACCTTTCTTTTTTCAAAGAGAAGTTACATTTGTATGTAAGCTGTTGGGTAGGTGATTGATGAACGCGTGTTGAGTTCCAGAAGAATAAAGTATCTCATTGTCATGGAAAACTTATGCTTAGTAAACACTACAAAACACAAAATGACATGATACGTTCATTGCTGTGTAATAAGATTCCTTGTTTACCGGGCATGCTATAGGGCCATGGCAACAAAACCAGAAATAGGAACTATGAGTATTCTTGTTGTAAAGATGATGATGGTTATCAAGCAGTTCGTTAATCGCTGGAGTTTTACATCACTCCATATTCATTATCACTTTGCAGTGCTGCTAGTAGCGTGAGGATCAGTGAAGAGGTGTAAATGTGAAAGTTTGACTGAAACCTGTAATAAAAATAATGTGGTTTATTGTATGGTACGGAAGAGTCAGGTAAATGTGCACTTAGCTGATGCTTTGAGACAATTATCTGCAAGTGGTCCAGGGGAGAGAATAGAACTACAGTTTGTGTAATAAATAAATAAATAATTTTAAAAAAACCCCAGAACAAACCAAACCAAACAAACCACCAGGAGACTTTCTAAACTTCTGTCTTTTTAATGATGTTCCAAAACAAAGCAAAATGACTGAATGTTATTTCTTTACTTAATCCTTCAAAAATACTGGTATCTTGCTTAACTTTGAGCGTATCAGTTGCCCTTTTGATCTCAGTGGGGCGGAATCTGGACACATGTTCATTAAGTTCAAGACCCAGCTGAAAATTGGAGGCAGAATCAAGCCAGACAAATTGGTTACACTGTCATTGATAAACATTTCCTGCTTTCATACCATTATTTACATTTTTTTTAATAAAGGAACATCACTTTTAAAAAACAGAAAGTGGCTGATGTTTTTGCAACCGTATGTGCACTAACTGAAAAATACAGTATTTGTACACCTACCAAAAGTCTTGGTTTGTGGAATGGAGAGTGTCTTAAGACCTGGGGCAATAGAAGGCATTGAAGATGGGAAGGAAGAGGGTGAAAAGGCCTCAGGTTTTCCTCTCTTTTCCTGTCTTATTTATTTTCCTTAATTCAGTGCTTTTGGCCTTTCCTGGCTCACTGCCCTGTTCCTGTCAGCGGTGCCAAATCCCTAAAGCAAAAAAAATGGTAGTCTGAGGAATAAGGTAGTCTGTAGGTAGATCAAGAAGTCTAGAGAAACCAAGAATTTACATCTGATGATTGATCATTTCATTTCTGCATCAGGCTTCATTGAGCTTCCTTGCTCTACCCCGTAGTTTTGAGAATATATGCAGTGGTCGGCGATGAGGAGCTGGTGTTTAGGGATAATCATGGTTGTGTGGTAGAGTCCTGCTGATTCAGACATGTTCTCTACGCAGCGAAGTCATCCCAGACTAGATGATGGGATGCTCCTGTTTGCCTTCCATCTGTAAGAGCAGCACTTGGATTGCAATCGTGCTTTCACAACTGTAGAATATATAGTAAGATCCTCCACGTCTGCATCTAAAAGGCAGCGTAACATGCGGCTGGCATGGTGGTGTTTTCCTTGACCCTATCTTCTACAAAAATTGCGTTAATCTTTAATTTGATAACCAAAATTCCCACCACTCTTGGACATCTGTGCCTGCCTTTTTATTTAAGCAGTACTACTTTTTTTTTCCTGATGTTCTGCATTCTTGATTGGTGAATATACTTTCAGTTTCATTTTGGTTGTTGGTTGTAAATGATTATAGAAAGGAAAAAGTGATAAAAAGCATTTGCAATATGAGTACTTAATTAACTCAGTAAAATGAGGTTTTCAAGCTGTGGTCTGTAAACTGAAAGTGTGAGCACTACCTTTTAAAGGGTAGAAAAACGATACTGTTGGTAGTTTCAAGACTCTGGGATACTGTGCTGGAGAATGTTAGTTTTCAAAGTGAAAAGAATTAAAAATAGTTGGCATAAGTATTCGGACCATGAAAGTGTTCTGTAAAAACAGTTCAATGAAGATTAAAAGGTCACTTGGACAATTTGGGTGGGGTTTTTTTAGTAATTGCATGCCTGACTTGGTTTACCTCAAAGTAGTAATTTTATGCTGTGTATAGCAAGAAATTAATAATGTAAAAATTTTGTCTTAGTGCATTACAGTTAAGTTACAGTTTACAGACTCAATACTAGTGAAACCTTTAGGGTGCTAAGTGGTTATACCAAATGTTTGATCATGCATTTCATTTGATTGTGCTGTTTAGCATTGAAAATAACTATTGACAGATTCAGCATAAAATACAATGGGAATATTGTAGAGGCAATGGTTTACACTCTAGCTTGCTTGAGCCTGATGCTTTTTAAGCATTCCAAGTGTGTTTTTTAGCCTACTCTTCTGCTTGTAATTAAAAGGTAATTTTACATATTTTCATTAGCCCTTTATTATTTATTTTAGATTTTATGTCCAAACTGTTAGTTTGAATGTCTCTGTCAGGCTGAGTTTTCTGCTCTAGTTTTTTCTGCTATGACATCATTTTTGTGCTGTGATTTTTTTTTTTTTTTTTTTTTTTTTTTGTACTTTGAGATTCTTTGGTGTCCTTTTATTTGTTTCTACTTTTAATAACCTACCCATTTTTTTTCTCTATTTGTTTCCAGTTTATGCTTTTCTAAACAACTTCCATATATGCCTAGCAGTTTACATTCAAATGAATCAAAATCTGTTTGATTTTGTAGAATGTCTTAGTTCAAGTCTAAGACTGCAGCAAGTTTTTATTTAAGCATAACTAGATACTGACTTTTGGATACAAATGGATGCTTACTGCTTAAGTAGAAAACTTATGAGATAGTCAAGTCTATCTACAAAAGTATTCATTGACTGAGAGCACTTTAGTCAATAGTGACAATACAGTTTTGATAGAATAATTTTCAAGTTCATGTTCTGTTTCAAAAAGATATTCTGCTTTTACGGCTTATAAGTTTAATAATGTATTTTTTTATTACAGGGAGAAGAAAATGAAAATTCAGGATATTAAAAACAATATTAAAGAAGCTATAGAGGTAAACTTAGAAGCTATTGTATTTTACTATTCAAAGCTAGCTATTTAGACAGTCTCTGCAATTTTTTTCTTTTTTTCTTTGCAGACAATAGTGACAGCAATGGGCAATTTGGCACCTCCAGTTGAACTAGCCAATCCAGAGAACCAGTTTCGAATCGACTACATCTTAAATTTAGCCAACCAGATAGACTTTGATTTCCCACCGGTAAGTAAACAAGGCTGCAGTCATGCTTTTTTGCAAACGATTATATTTCACTGCACTGTAGTAAATATTTACAAAAACCAGTGATCTGTTCTTTTGGGAATTACTACAGTAGGTGTCTTTGGTCAGTGCTAATCAAATAAAGTATATAGCAATGCAGCTAGAATATTCAGGCTGATCCTTTGTGAATGTAGAGACCCTTGTCTCCTTTCTTTTGCTCTACTGAAATAATCGGCTCCAGTTAAGACGGGCAGTGTTGACAGTAATGTTTGGATATTGTTGGGAATTGCCCTGCCCAAAAGGAGTGAAGATATGTACCGCAGTCTGTCGATGATTAGCTGGCATTTAGTGATACTGTATTTTTCTCTTTTGGAAGAATAATAGTGTTTTCTTGCTGATTCAGACATGTTCTCTGACAGCTGTGTCAGCCAGCCTTTCTGCAGAGGCTCCACATACCATCGTATGGGCCTTGCCCCAACCCTCCCAGTCCTAGTTAATCATTCAAGATGCCAGCAGCCCTAGAGTAAATGCAGAAAGCATAATTATTTGTTTGATGGTATAACTTTGTGCCCACTCACTGAGATTAATTTCTGCTGTATCTCAACCAGGCTAGTAGCAGAAGCCCATGAAAATACAGTTTGCAAATACTGAACTCTTAAAACATGGAGAAGATACTAATTACTGTGAAGTGCCTTATACTTGCAGCAATACACGAGTGTTTCGAAGCTTGTGTTCTCTCTCTGTACAGTGTTTCAGAGGGCTGAGGGTAGGAATTATGATGATGTATCAAAATCATGATCCATTTACACCAGAATTTTGTTTCCAGCAGTAGTCAGTCCCAGGTGCTTGAAAGGAAAGTGCAAGCAGTAGTAAGATACGGGATAGTTTGCACCACAGCAAGGTTTTCGTAACTCTGATTTATAAACATTATTGAACAAGGTAGTCTGTGAAACCAGTGACAGTTACCTTTTGCAACTGTTGCCACTTCAGCAAATTTCTCTGCTTTGGTCAGCCTTTATTAAAAGAAAAAAACAACCAACCAAAAACACATACTTTGTGTGCAAGGCAGAAGTCATGTGCTTATTAGCAATTCGAAATATTGGCACTGTAATCTTCAAATCCAGTGATTTTCAAAGGTCAGCAGGCACAGACAGGTTGATGGAAAGGGGGACGTATGATTCTTCTGTAGCACACAGAATGTAATACTAGTCATTTTAGCTTAAAGAATCTTAAATAAATTAGAGATTTTGAGATTTTTCACTTCCCACCTCTTTAACGTTGACACTTTGTCAGTGTTGTTCATAGGAGTATTGGGTCCCTTCATGGATGATCTCTCCTTCTAGGGGGACAAAAAAATTCATGTTTTGAAGATAGTTTTAGGAGAATATTCGAGAGAAAAGACAGTGGCTCCTTACTCCACCCTGTGTGTTCTTGAACTGGCTGCATGCCCGCAGCTCTCCTACTGCCCATTGTTTTGTGATAGTTCAGGTTGTGATCTGTAACAATGCTGTAACAAGTTCCTGTGACCTACCTCATACTGAAATACTTGATTTTCCTTGTCTTGTCTATCTCAGAAGGTTTTTTTTTTCCCCCTTCCATTCAACTGGAATGCAGCGATTTTTAATTTTTTTTTTTCTTTCCCCTGAAAGCAAGAGGTAATTGTGTAGTGGTAAGTGAGTAAGCCAAGTGTGTATGTGTTACGTTAATTTTTATATAAAAACCAGTTAATATTCAGTATGTATTATCTCTGGTAGGATACATGGTAGTAAGCCCTTGATGTCTAAAGTCATGGAAATATACTTACTAGGTCCATAAATAATTTCAAGTTCAGTGAAGAGTCTTTGATGTGTTGAATGACACACAACTTCAGAAATAACAGTGCTCCAATAAAACTAGTTTTTCTTCTCTGAGCAAAGGCATTGTGTTAAATTTTTAAGCCCTGTGTCTACAGAGGTTTAGGTGTGTGCATAACTTTGACTAGTGGCTAGTTTCATTGGCATGATTAACTATTTTGTATGTAAAATGTTTTTAGGGTTGAGGTTTTAAACTGGATATACATTAGCCACAGATTTTGAAGGGGTATTGTTGGCCCTTGGTGGTTATGTAAGCTAATATGTGTCTGATTTCTGAGTTTGTCTGAATGTAAGTTATAGTCCTTTGGTACCTGAAAAGCTGAACCTGCATTTTAGTTATGTATTTTAAATCAATTTAGAATGTCCCTAGATATCAGCTCTCAGTGCATAGTATCAAAAATACACGATCCTTGGGTACCTCTATAAAAATAACTTTGACTTTGTTATTGATTAATTAAAAGTACTTTGAAGAAAAAATAATTTTCTGTAAGTGGGAAGGATAGCCTTATGCTAATTATGCTTTGTATCTAAGGAAATGCCTTGATTATCTTCTTCTCTGCCAGTACTCTGGCGGGAGAATTTCATAAACTGGCAGCTAAACCTTTTCCTATATAGCGTATTAATGCAGAAGAAGGGAGGGGAATTTTTAGGAATGTTAGCAGTATGTAATGCTGGCTATTTTGAGTTTTAGAGCTTGCTTTCTGTCTCTTCCATTATCTTCATGGGGAATCACACTTCAGCTGTTATGAAGACATACTTTCCTCAGTACAGTGTTTGACGCTGCTCTTCTCTGCCGTAGGAATAACATGAAAGTAGGGAGAAGGAACACTCACGTACCAAGGAGATACTATGTGAGGGCTGTGAGTACTTAGTGCCATACTCTTTTACCAGACCATTTTGCTTCCCTATAAATGCCCATTCGTCTTTTCCTAAATTAAGCAAGCTCTCCAGAAGGCAATGCACAGACATACAGAGTTTAGCACTAGGATCGTGTAATTTCTTCTCCAGCTACAGGAGATCTTCTTTAGAACATAAGGGCCTCGTTCTTCTTCTATTTTAAATTAAGTTTAAAGTACACACCAAAATCTGTGTTTATAATTACCTGTTGTACAGGTGGACTAGAATTCAAGTTTCCTAACAGCAAGGTTCAGTGTAATGTGAAAGGCAGAAGAAAGTAAAGGAAGAATGTAGGAGCTTTACAGTGTGATGATAGGGGTGATATAGGGGTCTGGCTCTACGTGTCTAGGATTCAAAGAGCAACTTCTGTATTCAGATATTCTAATCCTTTTCTTAGTCTGTGTCTCCATCTGTTTGCTTTGCAGTTTTTGACTTACAGGAAATATGTGTCATTTGTGTAGAGCGTATTGAATTAAAAAAAGAAGAAACAAACAACTCGAGTTAAAAATAATGCTGGTACAGTGCAATGCTAGGTTAAACATTCCCTTTAAAACTGAAAAAATGGTGTATTGGAGATTTATAAATTCAGCACACTTGGTATTAAGCAATTAGATTTCTTGAATACAAATAGTAGCATATGGGGAAAGGAAAAGGGTAGTACTTACTGAAAGGAATTCTGTCCGCATAACCATGCTGATGATTTAAAGTATTGCAATATTTAGTAGATCAAATATGTAGCTCCTTTTGTGGTCCTTCTGTGTCATTTCACCATGCTGTATGTACCATTGGCAAGAACCTAGAAGAGTTTCACTCTTAGAGCCAGTAGTCAAATTTGTCTTGTCTTCTGTGTCAATAGTTTCTAAAATGCAAATTACAAAAAGAAACCCAGTACTGTGTGACTGAAGTGAATTGATAAAGGCTGGGAACATAACCATGTTGAAAACCTGTGGAGAATGCTTCTTAGTAGTATTCTAGGCAAAACAACCGAGTACTAAGTTCATGGTTTAATGTGAAGTATTCTCTGCCTTAGCTCATTGTGGACTTCTAAATAGCTTGAGGACATAGTATCTCCATGGGTAATGGAGTGCTGTTCTGATTTAGTTTTGTAAAATACTTTGCTGCTTTGGGGGGTAAAATCTATCATTATTATTAGGCTTGTGGCACAGCCTTTTCTTAGAGCAGAGCAGAATGGAAATAACAGAAGTCTAATCAGGTCCATGTAATCTGTTGTTAATATGAATACCACTGATAAATATTGTGTGTAGTATTCTATTCACATCATTGGGAAACATATTCTTGCTAAGACGTTAGGATGTTAAATGGCTAAGTCTTGCAAAAAAAGTCCAGCCCTGCTAGTTTCAATAAACACTGAGAATTAACAGAGAGATGCTTTCCGTAGAGAGGTACTGAAAGCAGAACCCTATTTTTTCTAAAACACTACAGTACCAATTTTTTATGAAAGATTATCATTTAAGGAGGACTATTATCATTCCCTTTATTCAAGTTGGGGTTTTATCATGCGATTAAATTGTCCTGGCCGGCCTTGAGGACTTTAAGCAAAGGAGAAGGAAGTCGAAGTAAGAAAACCTCCAAGTTAATCAAAGTGAACTCAGTTGAGATAGCTGAAGCATTTAATTTTAATAATCCAGCTGATCGTGAATGCGCATTAGTTAAAGCCTTAGAAATGAGGTAGTAATCTTTCTGTGTTGATACAGATCTGAAGGTACAGGTGTAATTACTGCTGCTGGGCTTGCATTTTAAGATGATATCATGATAAATAATATTTTTAAAAAAGAAATTTGTAAGTGATTTAGAAATTGTAAAATGAACTGTGCTCATCATTGAGGCTCTCTAATGAAACAAGTAGAAAAGTTGGTTTGCTTGAGCAATAAATTTGAGAGCTTGCCCAAGTTTGTGCTAGAACTGCTTTTTTAGTTATCTCACACTAGCTAAACTTTTTAGGAGTAAATTTTACTCTTTAATTTTATGTGTAACCAGATTAATACATGCTTTACAGGGACAACGTGGTGTGTAAGAACAAAGACCTCAAAATTTCAGGGTGTATTTACAACTATTTCGGTTAAAATGGAAAATAAAAACAAATGGTGCTCGCAGTTGAGGCTTCCAAATGGCATTTCTGTCAGTATTGTCCTTTGATGCATTCAGCTCAGCAAAACTGAATGTGTGTGTTTTCAATGTCAAAAATCAACCTCATAAGTATTTTCAATAATTCTGACTATCTGTATATCTGTT